GTTATTCTAATAATAAAATATACTAACTTTAGATTTTGTGATGCTATATCTGAGTTTCAAATGTTAAAAGGGCAAATCATATACAGTATACAAGGAACTTTTTATTGAAGGGTATGAAGCAGCATTGGATGTATTTTCCATGCCTGATTTTTGTTAAAGGTCCCATGACATGGCCATTTCTACTGATCATAATTCCATGGTTGAGGTCGACGAGAATAGATTTATATATTGTACAATTTTCCAAACTCACATTGGTTTCTCATACAGCATCTCTGTATAGTATGTGTATTCACTGAATTTCACTCTCTGTCCTAAACAGCTTGATGGAGCTCCTGCCCCCCACTCCTCCCTGTAAGCCCAGTGTGCTGCAAGACAGCGAGGGCGGGGGGGTGCCGAGGGGGCTGCAGCAGCCCCATCTGCGAGGCTCCATTAGCACCCGCATCCCCCCAGCGCGTCACATTTTTGCCGCTAAAAGTGTGTGTGTGTGTGTGTGAGGAGCTCCACGGATTGGTCCATTTGGACCAATGGGTCCATTTGGGTATGGGCACGTCACCATACCCAGGAAGAAAACAATGGAAAAAGAAAAATCTCCAACGAGGCGTTCTGGGGCAGCATAGACAGGTCTTTTCTGTGTTAGAGTTTTCCTCGCTACAGGGTGTACTTTGAGGGTTTGTGACTCTGCAGACCGTTTACATGCATAACAACCTTCATAACACACAAGGGGACGGGTAATAACCGGAAAAGTATGACATGGGACCCTTAAATAAGATGCTTCCAGTATTAGCTTTAAAAAAGAAAATGTCTTCATGAGAGAGTCACTTATGGAGAGACGATTGAGTGACTCAGTGGAGTGAACTTTTCCCTTCACTGCTCCCTAGCTCCTCCCTGTTGACTCCATTCACTTTGGGAAAATGAATAGCATCTGGTGCCTTTTCTAAGTCTTGGGTTTCGTCTTTTGTTGTGGTCAGCCACTCGTACTTTTTAATTGAAGCTTTTTTTTCTTTCCGTCTTCATCCATCTCCTGCTTAATCCAGGCCCTTAGTGATTTCAGAGCGTATACTTTTCAAAGGTACACATCATTAGCATGGGAATCTTGACCCTCAAAATAACTGCCTCACACAGCTACTTAAATCTATATTGTTTCTCTAATAGTGTATGTCCTGAGACATGAGCAAATGTATGCTCGGCCTTAATTTAGCCCCCATTTGTACATTTTTGAGTATAACAGGAACTCCAAATTCTGTCGTGTGAGACTCAATCTTCTTCGCAAATAAACGGTTTTACACCAATATATATGACAGTATTTGCTAAATCAGACTGTGTAGAGTAGGCTATTAAACTTCCATGTCTAGTGAAGCACTTGTGGAGCAAACGGAATAGGAAAAGGTAAAAACAGGCCTAGTTTCCACGGTGATGACCACTCTCAAATGTTCCCTGAGTTCCCCAAGTTGTTGTCATTAGTGATGTGGGTTCGACAGAGCCCCAAGGCTGCCTCTTTTCCAAGGGCTGTTGTAAAATAATATATGTGACGTTGAAGGATGTGTCCTCCACATGATTGCCCTTCCTCTCTTCCTCTCTCTGCCTTTCTTTTTTCCCCTTCCTGGTTTCAGTCTTAATAGAGGCTGCTTTTCTGATTTGAATTAACCATATGGCCCAGAATCAGTTCAGTGACAGTCGTACTACAGCTCTTTGTCACTGGATGGCCAGCTCAAGTGAGCTTTATCATATTTATTTATTTCGAGGGCCCTGAAAATAAATGGAAGCTGCCACCAGACTTCCTTCCCCCCCTTGGAGGCGCCTCACGTTAGCCCCGGGCAAAGTAATGCAAAGCGACTTTGATGGTTGATGTTGCAGATTGAATTATGCCCTTGAAGAAAAGCTATTAGCTCCGTCAAGAGTCCTTATTTGTTAAATTAAAAGTGGAAATGAGAAGAGTAGTCTTTAGTGAATTAAAGTTGCCAAGAAAATGGAATCAAAGGCTATCGTACAAAACAAAATTATGTGAAGGGAGAATTGTTTTTGCTGTTTCTGTAGTGACCCCCTTTCAATTCTATGTAGTACGTTTTTATGCTTCATAATGTATCTATTTCATGTTTGTGAAACTTGGTCTTTATTCCAATAACTGGTTGCTGTCCTCCATATGGAGAGCAGAATTAGCCCACTTTCAGCTGGAGCTTTGCCTCTCTGGTGTAAGGGTTGAAACCTCAACACTTTTAAGCCCACTGAAGTGAGATCAAAAGAAAAAGGAAGATTTAAAACACAGATGAATACAATTTCAATGCATCCTTAGGAGGAGCTGTGATCTTTTGGACTGTTGGCAGGCTCTTCATTGGCTGAATCCTCTTCAGAGAAAACATGCAGTCATAGAAATCCCTCATAGAGGATAGCTAACTGTACACTTTTGTTAAATGACTTATCTTCTGGACGCGCTGTAAAACACATAAGCCAAGATGAGTTCATTGGTGTTAGCTAATGCAATATCCTTAGCACGACTTTATCTTGCCCTCCATCTCTCTTTCAAAGACTGGGCTTTCTGTGAATATTTGGCTATTCAGCTTTCTCTTCTTGGCCCATTATACACTTTTATAGAGGCCTTTCTTATAGCTACCTTCACCACTTCCTATTTCCTGATCACTCTCTCAAATAGTGTTGGCCAAACAAGACATCAACATCTCCTTGCATCCAGGGAGTAATTTATGAGGTGCTGAACGGCTATAGGGAGGCAACAGAAAGAGAGTTTTCTTTTTTGTGATCAGGTTATGAGAGCCAAGAACTCATACTCCACACTTTACCACAACAAATATCTTTGAGAGTTTTTTTATACAAAACAGTTCCTTGTATCATTGAGAGTTTGAGTGAACATCTTTCAGCACCTAGTATTGTCAAAGGGAATTACTGGACAACCTCCCCCTACAAGATGTACTGGTAAACTACAGTATTCACTTTCTTAACCCTACCCTTCATTGTAGTACTTTTTTTCCCTTTTTTTCCTTTTTATTTAGCATCCTTTGAGAAGGACATATCAGTAAGATACAGCTATTTTGTTCAGTTGCAACCAACTTCAACAGGTTCCACACCATTCGTATTGGAGCGATCTTGATGGATGTGTCCATCCTAGAACCAACAATTAACAGTGTAGTATTATTTTTACTTTTCTTTATGATAGGGGCCAATAAAGTGATGATGAAAAATGTGATGTTGTCAGGTAGTTGGATGGGCAACTGTGAAATCTCTTGCATTTCATGCATTAACAGTGTGTAGAAAAATGTATTAATTGATAACAAAAGCCTAGTACCCTCAATTTCTGTGACGACTGTTTGCTAATCAGTGCTTATTTAAGCGATTTCGTAAACAACCAGTTCCAATGTAACTGGATGATTGGATGATAAGATTATAAGCTATCAATGGCGACTGTTTTCTAATGTAAGACTTTTTAGCCAACAAATGTATTGCCCATTAATTGAGAATTTAACCATTTTACCAGTGCCAACAAGGATTGGTTAAAGCCAACTGGCTGGCTAGTTAAACCAAGTGTGTAGTGCACTATACTGGCAGGTAAAATAAACTCCTGTTCTTAATGTTCCCAACCCTAGTCCAGATGCTGTTCGCATTGTATTTATATTCTCACTTGTTACTGTGCCTAAGATGTATAATGGCAGGGAAAACGCTCCACCAAATGAAAATTAGTTTTTCATCAATTTTCTTTTTTAAGTAAGGAAAGACAGTAGTTTGTGTGTAGCGTTCTCACCAGTAATGTTTCCAAAGGTCAAGGTTAAGCATCCCTCTGGGAGTGCGTGACACTACCATGAGTTTGTGACCCCTACGACAACCTCATGCCCGATCTGCTATGACTGTGTTTTACTGTCCTGGTCAGTTATAAGGCCGGACAATAATACCAGACCTAGCTACTGTTCTTTGATCAATACCACATGGGCAGCCCTACCGCAGCTGAAAACCCTTTTTGTGTCCGTTTCCTCTCAAACTGTCCTGACATGCTCAATAATCCAATAAATACCATACGTTTTTCTCCTGTTGCCAATACAAGGGAAGCAGCTGGGACACTGCTGTTGTGCGATGCATGTTCCTTTGAGTGATACATATTGTAATTCTCTATAAAAAGTATCCTTTACACCTTGTATATTCAGTGTAATTTAAAGAAGTTTACATGCCTTGCAAATTCATCCTAATAAGCAATACACTTGGTGTTATACTGAATATCAGGAACACTGTATATACTATGTCTGTAATATCAAGCCCATTACCTATCACATGAAATTGTTCATTAAGTGGCAGTCTGTCAACCAATTGTGACTTCTGTAACCCTCACAAACGCTTACGATGGAAGCTAAATCTTGAAAAAATTATATTGAATTGAGTATAGGGTAAAATGAGAATGTGGACATTCTTTCACAAGCTTTTAAGTTTGCCTGATTTTGGTTATTTTATTAATATGAATTACGTAAGCACTTATTTTAGAGCTTAATTCATTTTTTCCTTGACTGCTAATAAGGTGAATGCTTAATGTATTTAAAATCTCCCTTGCTTGCCTTCTTGCATGCAAAACACTTTTATAAGTTAATGTTATTCATTGAGCAATGTCACTGTGTAACTTTCATATACTTGCCTCCAATGTGTTACATTGTTGTTTTGTAATGTTGAAAATCATCATGTGTTCTAAATCAGATTCTGATTATATAATTCATTAAACAAACGCATATTTAAATAGTGTCTCAAATATGCCACATATGTATTGTGCTTCACCATATGTGCCTCAAAGTCAGTTTAAGAGGGAATATTCTTGTTTGCTGCTCTTTAACAACAATATGCATGGGGCAAATCAAGTTTATAATTATCGTTTTTGCTCCATGGTCTGTTGGTTACAGTATCCAAACATCATTTGATTTTGACATGTTCAAACACCACACAAAGCAACTTTGAGACCAGTCTCTGCATTCTTCTTCATATGTTGTCTAATCTTCGTACACTTTCCCCTCCTTTAGCAAAGCCAAGCCGCCCCCTCAGATGTCCCCGAGCAAGTCCAGTGGAGGAGAGTTCTGCGTGGCCGCCATCTTCGCCTCATCTCGCTCCTGGTTCATCACCAACCCCAACATGAAAAGAGAGAAAGGTAAGACCATAGCCACAGGTGCTTTTAGAATTAAGATCCTGGCAATGTTCCAACAAGTCTTCCAAAAATGCATTACCAAAATACACTGTTGCAGGAATGAGTCCTAAAGCCCGGAAGTGGCGTAGCATTTTACAACTTCCGGTTCCCTCTTCTCAAATAAAAGGGTTTTGTAAGGTCTGTGGTTAACATAAGCACTTCGAGCGATAGAATTACTAACAAAGAATTACTAACAAAGCACTTATATACTAATAAAGGACTGGCTTATCTAAAGCCAGTTGAGTAGCACTTGAAATGTTTTGGCTCTAGGAAACCTGATGTACTTATATGATTCTGTTTTCTTCTAGTTTGTATCTTGTTGGTTGAATGCACTTATTGTAAGTCGCTTTGGATAAAAGCGTGACGTGCATCACAACTTAACTTAAGTTTCTTTATAGCCTTATTTTAGCTTTTTACTTCTGTCGACTGCATTTTGCAATTCAAAAATCATAAATCAAGTGTGTTTGCTATAGATCTTTTATTTATCCAAAATCCAATGGACAAATCTATTGTCTCATTGTTTTATCAAATCGTTTTTTTATCCAGGGTGCCCTTGAGATACTTACTTCCTGGTCAGCCAACAAAAATACATCTTCACTGCCCCACTCTATTAAAAAAACAAATGACAACATGCTGGCAGTTCCTCCCTCATTATTGTTAGTGCACCTTTTAATTACCATTTTAAGTAGCATATATAACAGTATTCTTACCACTGCCTTTTTCCCCTTCATAGATCCATCCAAGCAGTCAGTCGTTGAGTCGTTGTACATCATCAGCTGCTATGGAACAATGGTGGAACATGTCTTGGAGCCTCGGCCAATCAGCACTGCTCAAAAGATTAGTGATGACACACCACTGGAGCTCAACACCTGCCCAAGAGCCTGCTGGAATCTAGCCAGGTAAAACTATGCTGACCAATCCTCCTAGAAAGAGTGCCTCTAATACAGTCAGTGATACAGTTATTTCTTTTGGTGCAGGACTCCACAATGGAATGAGTTGCAGCCACCCTTCAACTCCAACCATCCCTTGGTGTTGGCCTCAGATCTGGTGCAGTACTATCAGTATCTTCTGGCTGGTGAGTGCTGACGAAATCTTTCTACGTTCATTGGTTTGATTGTGTTCAACCATATTCACATATATTCTAGGATTTCAGGAACGTTTAATGCATATGAAGTCAATGTAAACAATATATTCCAGTACAAGTCAATGCATGCTTGCCTCAGGCAAATTGAAGTGAATAAGTGTTCCAGGCGTCAACTTATTAATATACTTTTAAAGAAGGAAACATTTTGACAGTGCTTTATATATACATTAATGTTTAGTTTTTTTAAGAATCATGCTCGCTGTACTTAATCAGTTCCCAAATATATTGTCTGTAAAAAATTGCTGTTAAAATAATTACTCTAAACCTCATACTGTATTTTATTTGTGACAAACATAATTTACGGTCCGGATAGAAAATAAATACAAGCTCTGGGCGCTGAACACATTTAAAGCCCTTTATGTGCTGAACTTTGTGGTAATATAATAAATGACAGTGTGGCAGACAGCACCATGCACTGTACATGCAGTGTACTGTACCAGATGAATCTGCAGCTCATGTTTAATATGCTCCGGCAAATGCGTCTGGTTCCCCTCCGCTCAGCAGCCTGTGATGTGACAAGCCAATCACAACCATTTATCCAATATGGGAAGTATGCAGAGCCCAGTTAAGGCATTTTTGAACACTACCAAGATGGCTGCAGCTGACCTGGAAACTTCTGTTGTTGGCCCGCTATTGGGAAGCCTGACAAAAAATTGCAAAGTCATCTGCCAAATCAAATAAAACAGAATCTTGCTAATTTGGAGAGTAAAAACACCTTTATTCTTTCATTTCTAATGTCAAAAATTGCAACATTCATTTACAAATATGAATCATGCTTCTCACTCATAGCACATTTAGAATATACTGATATGAAAATAAAAAAGGTATGTTTTTGGAAATTAATCAACTATTTCAGCTGAACATGTAGTTTAGGTAAATATTTATTTCCTCTTTGCTTTTCCCTTTGTGGTACATTTTTGACACCATTATTTACCAAAATATTGATTTGCTATAAAATTGAGTTTAAATTCAAAGTGCCATTTTACCATTGCGTATCTGCCTGCACTGTATGCACTATTTCATTTTATACATGTAGTTATTGACATATAGGAAAATGTATGTTTTGGTTGAACTTGGTTGAAAATACATGCTGTGTCTTTTTTTCTATATGCATCATTAGTCAAGGTGGTGACCCCTATTCCCTGCTTTTCCATGTTGACTGTGTTGAAAGCCAGTCCTTTGCGTCGTATTGGTGCCACATGCTGAGATGAGACCTCTCCAGTCAACAGCCATAACATGTCCTTTCTCAAAGTGTTCCGTGAAAGATACTTCAGCCAGTTGTACTATTTCACATCTCATGAGCGATATCGAAAAGTATCTCCATTCCTTTGTTCGGTACTCAAGTCCGTTCTTCGGCGGCCGCGCTAAATGCCAGCTCCGGGACACGCTAGCATAATGCTACAAGATGCCGCTCTCAAACCAATTAGCTGACACCCTAAACTCTCTAATTCAATAACAAGTACAGAGCAGTGAGCACTTTAAGTTGCCCTCTGAAAGGCCAATTCGCAAAAAGCACCGAGTGCACTCGGATGGCCACACACGGTATCAATCCACCCCCTGGAATCGGCTGGCGTTTTGAGCTCACTCCATAATTATAAACACACGGAATCTGTAATTAGCTCTCGCGGCTGCTCCGGGGCAAGTGGTAGCTGTTTTACCCTAATTTCTCCACTCATCTCTGTTGACTTCTGCACTGCTCCAGGTCTAACTGGTAGGATATTTTTCTCAAATTAGTGCTAATGGTCTCTCCTAGTGTCACAGCAATGAGGACACGTTGGAGTGACGGACATGCGCGTCAACTTATTCTACCATTGTCTCTGCCAACATGGGCAGAGGAACTCTGCATAATGAGAGGGATTCATTGCATTAACATTTACATCCAATTAACAATAGCCAGATAACACCGCCCTGTCTCTTTATACCCCCAACCATCCAAGTGTGAACAATGCGTGGTCACAACGTTATAAACATAATTGTTCAGCCCTCTACCCATTTTGTGTGCTCCTGCCATTTTCCCTCAGGGTCGGTGTCCTAGACACCGCCACCACCGGTCTTGTCTCTTGCACGGCAACTTCCAATTTGTGTGTGCATTGCAACCGAGATCAAGCATTCAACATCCCTTTTCTCAGCATGCTTCCCCTTGCCAGCCCTCTCTTCTGCCGTTTCCTCCAGGGCTTGGCAGCGCAAAGGAGTAGTGATCCAGGAGAAAGAGTAGATTTGACCCAAGGATGAATTACAGCACAGCCATACGCCTCTTGTCCAGTTGCCTCCTGCTGAACATAACGATCCTGCCACTGCAGATGAAACTGAAAAAGGCACACAAATCTTACTTGCAGAACAAACTGTGCTATTTAGGTCTTATTTGTGTGGCGAGGCGGGCAGGGTAGATAGTGGCCGACCCCCTCCCACCCTGGACACAAACTGTTCACCCCCCTCCCCTCTGGCAGGAGGCTCTCTCCATCAGGACCAAAACCTCTCGCCACTTCAGCTGTTTCTTCCCTTAACGGCCTAATTAAACAGTATGCATAAAATGAATGCACACTTTGCGAACAATATCTTGTTTAATTTTATTTGAAGTAATGGACGAACCATACTAAGAAATCTATGGAAATCCCCTTCTTCTAATCATCTTACAAAACAGGCTGTGTCTCGAAAAGGGTGACACGACGGCACAAAGCTGGCAGTGCTTGATTGACAGGCCGTGTTCTCTGGTCTCGTGGCTCAATATTGGATGACCAAGGCTGATTAAAAATGCAGTATGCAGGGAAAGGAGTAGGAAGGGGAGAGGAAGGGCCGGGGTCATGCAAGACCGGAGTCTCCAGGACGGGATGATAAAAGGCAGCAGTGGCGCCACTTCATGGTCACTATCTCCACCTGTCCATCTGTAGCAGCTACTCGCAGCACTCAGCCTCGCAGAGGACAGCAACGTGCTGCACTGCCTCGGAGAGATAAGGAAGAAAGGGACACACATTATACAGTATACTCACAAATAGAAGAGATGCTGTAGGGCGATACAGCTTAATAAAAGCAGTCTTGAGCCAATTGTTTAGTGTTTGGGGATCCCCTCTTTGTAATGTGGAATCACAGGATTGTTGTCTCCAAAAGTATTAGGCAAGTGTGTGAATGGATCAATTTTCTCTTTGCCAGAGGTGTTTGAGCTGGGTAATAAGGTGACCCCTATAATCCCTATCAAAACACCCTAATGTATTATAATTAGACCTTTTATTCCGATTTTCTTCTCACTGATTGTTTTCCTGGGGTGATATTTACTTAGCTGTCCACACCATGCTTTCCAACATCTTCTCCCCTCGCCGCAAAGTTGTTTGAAGTAAACAACCTGGTGAATAATTTACCACCTATATCTGGCTGGCTCCTTTGGCGATGAAGGCGGCAACAGAGGCTATGCTTTTTGGCCGCGGCCCTCCCCTCCCTACCTGTCATATAATGTGCTAATTGTGGAGACTGACTGACTGGCTCGCTCTGCTGCTCTCTTGGGACTTTGAGGCCCATGACAGGCCAGCCTCAGTTGCCTTGTCAATAGATCTAATTGCTCCGAGAGAGGGGCTGGAGTGATGGCCTTGGAGCATCATCAGGCATTTGGTAAAGAGAAACCATGGCGCCATGACTGGGTCAGTAATCAAAGAGAGGGAGAGAAAGGAAGGGGTAAGTGTAGCACTGGCTGAATGAAGGTACTGTCAGTCAAATCCGCCTTGAATGATATATAATGACTAAGCTATCCCAATCTGTCAGTATGCCAGCACCTATCTGCCAGAGTACTACTCCAAAGAGGAAAGCGAGAAGAGAGGAACGTGAGAAGAGAGATAGGCGGAGGGAACCTAGCAGGTGAAATGTCTGGCAGCCAAGTGTGGCAGGTCAAAGCAGAGATAGGAAGAATGCAGAAAGACTAAATTAATCTTTAAAAAAATGAATAAGATAAAGGTGGACAGAGGGGCCAGACTAGACAAGACGGCTATCCTCTGTCCACCGAGCAGCCAGATCTATCAGATTGTTGTCCCTTATCTGGCCCTGGAGATCGGCCTGTCCGACCGCTGGCCCAAGGCCTCGGGAGGTCGGGCTACATCAATACCTGGGCAGCCTTTGTTCTTGTTCTGACTCCCTGCTTCACTGCTTTGGCCAACAGGCCACTGGCTTCCAGCCTTCAGCACAGAAAAAAAAAACACTCTCTCTGCATTCAAGATAAATCTGTTCCTCTGTGATGTAGATTGTTTTTCTTTCCTATGTCGATATGCAAGCATATAACTACAGTGTGGTTGCTGAAGAAACTGACCAAAGCAAAGTATTACACTATTAAACCAACCTTTATAGTTAGGAAAATACATTGTCTAACACCGGACAACAGGATAAGTATATTAGCCACATAATAAAACCCCAGACTTTTCATGCATTTCTTCACAAGTTAGCGATGGTACAGAATGTTTGGCTGACAGATGGTTAATAGGGACTAATGTGCCAAACATATTCAGGGTCATTGTCAATTAGCTTTACTTATGCAGCAACACAATGTGGCAAAAATGTGCAAGCATACATTTATTGTAGTACCAAGTATGATTCCAATGAAAGTTCCTCAAATTCAGCACATATTATACATTGATGAGATGTGTTTTGGCATTAATTGAGCCTAAAAATGTAATTAAATAAAAAAATGTATTTACTCAAATGGCTCGAGTCACCTTTTGACCTCTTTGTCATAAGCATGAGTTCTTTGGGAAATTGTTCAACAATGATGCAACAAAGGCATTGTTATTGCAAAAAAAAAAAAACATTACAAAAATGTTTTCTAAAAGGTCTGAATTTACATTTAAATACGACTAAATATGAGTCTGCTATGTACAATAAAGCAGTCACTTAAGCAGTTAAACATTAACAAGGAGAACAATTGAAGAAATCTCAAGTAGACTGATGAGAAGGAATTCCTCTGAAGTGTATTATCCCAATTGAATTATCCTGTTTTTAAAATGAGTTTTAGTAATTACATTTTGCTATGCCGACTCGGATGTTTCTATAAATATGTAAATGAAAAAACAAGATCATTTCTACTCTGCTTAAGCCACACACTTAAACTCCTTTCTTCAGTACAGTGCAATAAGTTTGCACTTAAAAATGTCCCGTCTGTGAAATTGCATTGACGTTCTGTCTCATAAAAGCCAGTAATGAGCGTTGTAAAAGCAAAAGGCCAAGTGGCGGGCTAGCCGGACACTAAGATGGGTAGATATGACTGTAACAGCCGGGTTCAGTCTGGCTCCTGACGTGCACACACACACACACACACACACACACACACACACACACACACACACACACACACACTACAGACGACGACGACGAGAC